AGTCTTTTAGCCTGATTATTGCTTTTAGCATTGGTTTAGCATTGGTGTTATTACCTGCTAAGCTTCAAAATAGAACAGAATTGTACATAACTTGGTTGTGGACAAGTAGCTATTACAAAGGCTACATGAATATTCACAAATGGAGGCACAGATGCCTCACTCACCCGATCACAATGATTTGCAGTGAAGAGTTGCTTCCCTTGCGACGGCAGACACTTATGAATGTGGGTTCAAACCCCAGTTTGCATTGTCTATATTTCTAGGTTTGCGGATAAGCCCTGGTATATGTGGAATAGTGTTCAAAACAGTGTTAATCCCTACTTCTTCACACCACACTCTCACACTCTTGAAGATCTTGGTTAGAATTGGTCTTCAGTAAACCATTCCTGTCGTAAGAGGCGACTAACGGGATCTGGTAGTCAGGCTCCCTGACTTGGTTGACACATGTCATCGTATCCCAATTGCATAGATTGATACCCTTGCTGTTGATCACTGGATTGTCGGAACCAGACTTGATTATTTACACACCGCTGCCATATAGCTGGAATATTGCTGAGGGTGTCGTAAAACAACAAGCTAAAAACCAGGAAAACCTACAGACTCTTCCATTCTCCTCCACACTCTTCCACACTCTCCCACGCTCTTCCTCTTTGCTCCACACTCCTCTTCTCTCACTTTGCCCACCTGAAGAGGAAATGCTGAGTTTGCTTCTGAATTTCCACTATTGAAAAACATCAGCCATACCTTAATGATATCCGATGCTGCTCAGGATGTTCTGAAATATGACTGCAGTTATTAGCGTGTATGATGACTTTCCCAGCTTCCCAAAGATAAGGTTGTATTCCCCTCCAATGAACATCATGCTGCTTGATACTGCATTAACCTTGGTGTGTTCAAGATGCTTGTATGCATATTGATAATATCCCTTATTGATCAGGTGCTTCCTGACTAATAGATTGTATTACTAATTGTGTAATTATCTTGGTTGTGATCATCTTGCATTTCATGGTCGACAGCCCAGGATGAAGTTGATGGGAGTTGTATTGATTTGTGCATTTGCTATCGACTGTGTCATGGATGGCCATGGTGGATGTTTTTTGGTTGAATTTTGATGAACTAGAAATATGTGGAAATTGACTGTGTTCAAATTTGAAATAATAGCATTTTCTTAGTAAGGTTTGGAACGGCATTTTCATGGGAGTGGTCAGTGGTATTGCTGGTATATTTTGCTATACTACAGTCTTTCATACTTACAAGGGGCGGTTGGGTAGCCAAGTGGTTAAAATGTTTACTCATCATGCCAGGCCCAGGTTCGATTCCCCACTTGGGTAAAATGTGTGAAGCCCATTTCTGGTGTCCCCTGCCGCGATATTGCTGTGATATTGCTAAAAGCGACATAAAACCATAGTCACTCACTCACTCATACTTATGTAACACATATTAGATACATTTGGAAGTTAATGGTATAAATTTTGTTTATGTCGAGCGATTAACGGAAAAGGTGGTCAGGCTCGCTGACTTGGTTGACAAAATTGGTTTTCAGCAACCCATGCTTGTCCTAAGAAGCGATTAACAAAACGGTTGGTCAGGCTTGCAGACTTGGTTAACACAATATTTTAAACAAGAATTATTCTAACGCAGATTAGCATGGGTAGTAGTAGTAGTAGTAGTAGTAGTAGTAGTATAAGTAGTAGTAGTAGTAGTAGTAGTAGTAGTAGTAAGAGCAGCAGCAGTAGTAGTTCCATGTTATTTTTCTGAAAGGCTTTGTGTTCATTACGGCAGTATTAATCGCTTCTTCATTACGGCAGTATTAATCGCTTCAGATTGTAATAAATAAATACGTTATATTTTTTAATTAAGACCCATTCAAGATGCTGCATATAGGTTCTAGCCACCCTTGGCAGACAATGCTTAATTCTTACCCCACCGCTGATTCTGTTGGTAATGAAAACAGTCTGTACTGTCTGGCCAAGTCTTGATGGCTATGTCCGTGATACCACAAGCATGTCTTCTACTCAAATCAAATCAACTAGAGTATGAATAATATTGAATGTTTAGCCAGGATTCCATAGTAGAGTTCGTTTTTGTTTCCTAAATATTCAGCAAACATCAGCTGAGAAGGTACTGTATTACTAAATGTGTTAGGTCTGAGATTCTGGGGCGACCATTTGATGCTGGTTATACATAGGGGACTGAGTTCTTTCGAGAGCCATGTAGCATGTTACGAAATTGAATTTCACAGCTTGTTGGTCCAGTTAATGTTCCAAACTGTTCTTCCTTTGTAGGAGATGTGCCCAATTACATGTTAACATCATTTTATATTAATTGTTTGAAAGCCCCAGTCGAGTCCATCGGATGAAAAAGGGGTTGATCTCAAACACTTAACTTTGAAATGTTTTTTTATCGGAGCTATACATTTTAGAAAACCTATTGAAGTGTCTTAATTTGAAGCCTGTTGATTTGGATTTTCTTTTGAGCCCAGCAGATGAACAGAAGTGTTAAGCCTTGAAATCAATGGCAATGAATTGATGCATTTCCCCCTACTTCATCCTGCTCTTGAGTCAGGCATGATTGGTCGATGTAAAATGTCCTCGTTTCTTTATGCCTGATATGGGGAGCCAGTTACCGTACAATCTGTGTGAGAAATTGGGAATTATGTCACTGTGAGATTCTTCAAAGTGTTGTAGTGACTGAAAGCATGCTGGGGTCAAAGTATTGCGTTAAAAGTTGGAAAGGATGCAGCTGAATCACGTTGGGAGTCCTATGGTGCAAAGAGGATGGTTGTGTGAATCATTAAAGTTATTGATACTGTAGGTTACGTATTAAAACTGACATTTCTGTTTGAGTCAGAAATACTCACAGTTCATGTTGTCAGTCTCCGATTTTCTGGAATCTATCATTGAAATTCTTGTCTGTAATGGGAATTATTCTATTGAACTTGGTCAAATATTCTTGGAATTCAAGTCAAGCGTGCCACATCTCAGGCTTTATTCATATATGGACCCAAAAAATTGAACGGAGAGATTCTGGAACTAGAACATAGAGACCCAGGTAAATGTGTTAGCGTTATGTCATTAAAGATCCTTCCAATATTGATGAGATTGGAACCATGCGATATTAGTTTCATCAACTGGATTATTGGTTTGTAGGGAAGATGAGTCAGCAACGAATAAATCAAGGCATGTAGACAACTGATAAAATGTGTTCTATTAGCCTGAAGGATACTTACCAAACATTTGATTCATGTGAGATCATCATTTTTTTGTCATGGAATGGGTTGGTTTTACAATGGATTATAAAGTTGTTGGAATTGAGAGACCTGTCTTCTGGCAATGATGACTTGAAACAACCACTGGCATTGATGACTAGACTTGAGTATAAGAGATGACCCATCTCAGGACATTTTATATATTACTGTGAGTATGAGTCATAGTTATCATGATTATTGATATAGTTAAGGTTATTTGTTCGGTTTAGTAGTGTTTTATGTTTTGTACTTGAGAAATGGGTTTTCTTGAATCCCTATTTTGAACCAGTTATCTAGGCAAGCAGTTTGTCAGTGCCATGATTGATAAACATCTGGGACCTGTATCCTGTTAGATTTCCTCCCATATTAAGCTGGGCCCCGTTTCAAAAAGCTCTCATAAACCTAAGATCTTGTAACTGTTCTCGTAGCATTCGTACCTCCTATACTGTAACATAGGAAGTATGAATGCTAAGAGAAAAGTTACGAGATCTTAGGCTTAAGAGAGCTTTGTGAAACGGGGCCCTGGCATATAACTGGAATAATGTTCAAAAAAGTTTCTATTTGTTTGTTATCTAACGCCGCACTCAGCAATATTCCAACCATATGGCGGTAGTCTGTAAATAATCAAGTCTGGATCAGACAATTCAGTGGCCAAGGGCATGAACATCAATATACACAATTGGGATATGATGAGATGTGTCAAGCAAGTCAGCGAGCCTGACCTCCTGTTCACTTGCTCGCCTGACCTCCTGTTCACTTGCTCGCCTCTACTACAAGCATGGGCTACTGAAGACCAATTTTACAGCCGATCTTCACGGGTATTATATACCCAGCTAGCTCACTCATACATTTTGTCATAGGTGTGCTTGCTAGCATATGTTCTTGCTTATAGTGTTTGAAAATGTCTTAGTTCAAGTCCTGGATAAATTCAGTTTGTCATTCATCAGAGGTGTTAAAGTCTAACAGCCTGGTCATGTCACATGACATGATTTTCAGGTGATATTAGTGTTTATGTAGGTATCTCACTAGACTGAAATATTTTTTACTAGATTTAGGCTATGGACTAGGAGCACAGACTGATTCATTCCATTTTTTCCACCACATATTAGTAGCAGCACACACTTTCAGGGAGTCATTTTCAACATTTTACCACTGATTTCTAGCCATTCAGTGTATTTTTACTGGCTCTACGGTAACACCATCTGATGACCACATTGATTCTGTATTGTACAAGCTATCTGTTTAACCAAGTGACACTTATTGGAAACCATTATAAAATATTCAGCTAAAACAGGCGTATATGAATGCCTATGGCTTTAGTGGTCTGCTGGGCTCGACGACGAGGAAGTATAGACACCATCATCTTCCTTGTGGGTGTTGAGGACGAAACAGGCCATGCATCATGTATTAGATGATTTTTGTGTCATTGATACAAAAGCTTGAAGTGTTCGTAAAAATGTTATAACAGCTGACGTTGGTTGTGGCCGTATGTCCTTTTCAAACTTGATGTAGTGAATGAAAAGGGTTTCAACATTGCTCTGCTCTGTATTTATCTCACATTGTTCACATGGGGGCTAGGTTTGAAAGGAGGCAAAGTATTATTCTGTATTTTTTGGTTCATTTCAAGGGTCTGATTTGCACATGCATTTTGAGTGTTTAACAGTGTTGAAAATGAATGAATTCTTATCTTACAATATGGAGAGAATTTCCATGCGAGAATAAGTGTAGTAACTGCCTGCGTATTTGCTGAATCGTCAAAATGATGACACACTGGACAAATATTTATGAGTGTAAATTTTCATGTGCGCAGGTAGGTGATATTTTGAAGTCTTACGTGTGCAAGTGGGTCAGATTTCAAATGTGATCAGGTCCAATGTCAAAACTGTGAAACAACACGACTTTGATCTGTGGTTTAATGGCTGACAGTCAGTTCTCTGAAGCTTGTGAATGTTACAAATTGTTATTAGTCAGGCTTGTAATTTGTTTTGAGGGCTAAAATAATCATTTAAGGTCACCATAACTGATAATATGGTGACCTGATCCTCCACAAGGACCCTGAAGATTTCAACAGTGTGACGGATCACTTTGTGTGATCACCAGCTGATTCACTGTCTTACTCATTATGGACGCTGGTTCTTTCAGGATAGGCTTAATTCATTGCTGAGTAAGCTGGCTGTTTGACCACTGGTCAAACGGAGACTTCCTGTATGGGGATGGATCTACCGTGAACCGCATGATGGATGTGAAGTGCTTGTGTCTGTATTTCAGGAGAAAAGGTAGTTTTTGGATGTCGTTTGTTGGTGTTAACTGTTTTGGTTGTGTGCTGGGAAAAGAAAATATGGGATTTGGATATTTTTTTAAACTGGATAAGCATTGTCATCACAGAGAAAAATCAGGTTTGAATTTGAATGGTAAGTGTTAATTTTGAAACAGTTTTTGAATGTTTTATTTAGAAAATGTGGTTCGTAACCAAACTATGATGTATTTTCCAAATTACATGTTTGTAAGGGAACCCAGTAGTGACAATGTTAAGTTGGTATACAATTACGGACATGATCGTTTTTATAGGGCAGTTATCCTTTGTATATAACATTAGCTTGTGTACATTGTCCAATATTTCTTGTTGTACAGGCAGTGTGCGAAATTTACGCTGGTCCTGTGGTCCCTTGCTATTAAAAATTCATCAGGACCACTAAGTGATAAGTTTGCAGTGGTCATGGTGGCCAGTGAAATTTTTTCCCATCCAAATAATTAAAATTGTCTTTAAATTAAAAAGTGAGACAGTTAAGTAAATCAACGAATGTTATTTTAGACCAGTGAAGTAAAGACATGACCACTGATTATTGTCCACTCACTGGTCCTGTGGTCTAGTGGGAAATTTTGAAAGGTTTCTTTCCCTGTAGAGGTATACAATGGTTCATAGTAAACATGAAAGTCAAAGGGTTTAAGATATAATGAGTCCTTACAATATGAAGCTGTTGTCAAGGACCCCAGACTGTAATGATGTTTCATTGATTTCTGAGTCTTACAGATGAAGTAGTGGACATTTCTAGGAAGAGAATGACAGTTCAGAATAACGTAGTACCCTGATGTAGAAGAACATGTGCATAGAGACTTCACATACTCACTGTTGATATATAGAATTTATAGCTAGTGTATATCAATAAGGGAAATCAACTGAATCTTTGTTGATCGTTTTTGGAGAGGCAGATATTGATTAATGAGATGAGATTTTTCCCATATTCAAAAAACATGAGCAATGGATCACATAGAACTTTTCCTTTTAAGAAATAAATACATCAAAGTTTAAACCAGAAACTTATCAAAATCATATGTATATATAGTGCCATTTGATGTATATTTTTATTGCTGTGTGAACCAAATTAAATAACCTGTTAACTCCTTTCTGGCGTATACATTTGCTGCAAAAAGTGTTCTTCCGATTATTTGAAAAATATTTACTTGAACTGTATAAATGGAAACTTTGATGTCTGTAACAACAACGATTCTGTCATTTGATTGTAACTGGTATAATTTCACTAATATTAGCTTTCAATTCAAACCACATTCACTGGTGAAAAAAGTCCCACTTCGGTTATCTAATTTGCATACTTATTGCAGATGACATACATGTTTTATGCTATAAGCTTGTGTCATGGATAAATGCTATTGTTACATGATAAAGGAACTAATCACTTGTTTAGATGAGACCTGTGAAGATCTGGGTCAGAATTGGTCTTCAGTAACCCATGCTTGGCATAAGAGGCGACTAACGGGATGTCAGGTCATGTCATCGCATCCAACTAGTGTAGATTGATGCACATGTTGTTGATCACTGAATTGTCTTGTCCAGATTCGATTATTTAGGCCTTAAAAAAAAATGTTGTGGTTCCGATTACCTGACCAACCCTTGAATTCTGGTGCCGACCCTAGTTTTTCTAAGAAGTATGAATAAAATAAGCTTTCGGATACCATTGTTTTGGCCTGGCACCAATGGAGATCGGTCATTCTGATAGAGAAAGTTCACATGATGGCTGCAAGCTTGTTTGAATAAACAATTAAACATTGATAAATGTGTTATTAGTTTATACTTTACTTCTAAACAAAAATGTTAAAAAAAGGAATTCCTACCTACCTCCCCTAAATTTTAAAGAGGTGTAATCAGAACACAAGATTTTTTTATTTGGCCTTACAGACCGCCACTATATAGCTTGAATATAGCTATATAGCTGGAAACGTAAAACTAAACTCATTCATTTGTTTGCATGAGGATGTATAAAAGCTAGAAAACCAGTGTTAGAAGGAAGACTTGATACAATGATTTGGTTGATGATGTTTGATGTGCAGTATGTGTATAAAGTGAAGATGTGTCATGGTGGGGATTATTGTGTTTGGCTGGACCTAGGAACACTGGTGCATGCTGGTATTTATCACAGCTGTGGGGACGATGGGTTAACCTAGTGGTCTAAGCGTTCGCTCGTCACGCTGAAGAACCGGGTTCGATTCCCCACATGTGCACAATGTGTCAAGCCCATTTCTGCTGTTTCCAGATATTGCTGGAATATTGATAAGAGCGGTGTTAAACCACACTCACTCACTCGCTCTCACAGCTGTGGACCGGTGTTGAATTTATTCTGAATCTTGTCGTGCTTGTATTGATCAGACATCTAGTAAATATGTCCTGACTCATTCACTCAAATATCGTGATACCTAACCTGTGTCATGACATAGGGATTTGTCTGGTATTCCAGACCGAGTGCCTTTGGTAGGCTAAGTGGGAGAAAGTATTTTGTGCAAAAATGATTTTTTTGTGTAAGTAATGATAAATTTGTTGTTACAATTTTATTCAGTTCAAGAATTCCTCGTTTTAATTGGTATCATTGTCAGCTCTACGTTCACCTCCACAAAGTGATAATATTAGTTTAACTTTATTAACATGAACTGAGATTTTTTAAATTCCAATTTGGGAATATTTACAGACATTTCCTGGAGACTTAGGCTGGATATCGACTTCTTAGCAGGTTGGGATAAACCCCAGTAGGGTTACTTCACATTCTAACATACTTTATTGACATAACAATCTTAATCATGTGTTTTGATACCTTAATCATGTGTCCTTTTTAAATGCAGCCCTCTAAAATGTGGTTGTCAACCAGTTTGTGTTTTACTTGAATGATCGAATAATTTCTGTGCATTATGATGTAGCTATATGCACTGAATCGATACATAAGAGAATTGTGATGCCCAAGTATGATTGTATGTATGTTTTGATTTGACCTGGTGGGAATCACTGGGTCACAATGAATTATTTAATAGACTATGATAAGTCAAGAGTGTACTCCTATTTATGAAATTTACATCTGGTAATTCAGTTTATTCTCATAAACTATTGTGATATATTTCAATATTTGTGTGTGGAATATACCAGGGATAGACTCGGACGTCCACAAGTCAGTGAGCCTAGGATGACTGAAAAATCCAGAGGGTCTAGTTTCTTCTTTGAAATCTGTTTATTCTAAGTAAACCTCTTGTCCGCAATAAGCTGCAGACAAGCTAGATTTGACCGCTGGTGCCTTCCCTTGTATCCCGGACAGTGGGTTAGCCCTGTGGTTAAAGTGTTCACTCATCACGCTGAAGATCCAGGTTCGATTCCCCACATGGGTGCAGTGTGTGAAGACCATTTTGGGTGCACTGTCAGGGCTCCAGATAAGGGCCGTATCGACGTATGCACGGATAAAAAATATACATGATACGGTAGGAAATAATTTTGAAAACGTAGCAGATACTCATCACAGCAATGGTGTATGAATCATTTACAGACGTATTTATATTAAAAAGTATTGTTTTATTGTTGATTGACCTGTTTACACAAGAGTAGCAATGTTGTGGTGCATATACCAAAGGAAACACAAGAATACTGATTACTAATTTCCATTCAGTACTCTAAATGTACTCTTAAGTTTTTCCAGTACTCCTATATTGAAAAAATAAGGAGTACATACTCCTGATGTTCAAAAATTATCTGGAGCCCTGCCTGTGTTTTGATATTGTTGACATATTGCTAAATTTGGCGTAACACTTAACTCACTTGGTATGAACTTTGGTATGAACTATAACAGAGATAATAAGTGAATATTTGTTATGCGCTTGGTCCTGTCCTGGTTATAACCCTGGTCAATGGATCAGTGTGCATTCAGTTTTCTTTCTCAACTCCCTAGGGAGCATACAACCCAAGCTGCCTGAAGCACTAGATTAACAGTCACATTTCCATCTGATCCAGAAACTGTCAGGAAGACCGTGTCGGAAACTGAATAACAATGTTTTAGTAGCTTCACACAGAAGTGGGATGAAATATTTTAATGATATTCAGTTCTGCCATCTGATCTTCCGTTCAATGGTTTCACATCAACAGAAAATCTCATGTCCTTGCATTAGATGTGGACATTTTTGTTTGTTGCTATTATTTTATTACTAGCATATCAGTAAAACTTTTATTAATCATCGACTGCTTGAGGAAGTTTTACATCAGGAAGCAGGAACATGCCATCCTATGGAAAGTAGCTTGATCCCTCGGGCAGCGATCTTGCCTGGGGTAGATACTATTGGGGCATGCTGATTATTTTATTGACTTTTGACAAGACATTCTTCTATACTGGACAAAAATAGTTAGGTATATATGTAAATTATGAATAATGATCTATTTATTCATTGACACACTGATAAAATATAAATCATAAAAATACCAATGTCCCTAACTTATTTTGTCCAGTATATATATCATTTACATATTAAATGAGTGAGCATGTGAGTTAAGTTGTATGCTGCACTTGTCAATATTCCAGCTATATGGTGGCAGTCTGTAAATAATTGAGTCTGGACCTGACAGTCCAGTTATCAACAGCATGAACATCGATCTACAGAACTGGGATATGATGACATGTGTCAACCAAGTCAGCGAGTTTGACCACCTGATCACGTTAGTAGCCGCTTACGACAAGCATGGTTTTACTGAAGATCAAATTTAACCCGGATCTTCATGGGTCATTTACATATTGGAAACATATAATTTTTTTATAATATTCATTGTTTTGGAAAACCATGTCCTGGAACAAATCTGAGATTCTAGCAGTGGAATTAATCATGCATATCCAGTTATTTTTCTGTTGCTTGTGTATAAAACGGTTTTGGTTTTTTTAAACTAGTACTATGAAAACATAATTACTTGTGTGTAATTACTAAGGCTGCAACGAAGCCATCACGAGGTGAATATGATTCATAATCATGAAAATATTATTTACAAATAGAATAACAAGTCTGCATTGAATGTATATTGTTGTTTCACACCGCTTTTAGCAATATTGTTGTGAGTGAGTTTGGTTTTATATTCCTGTAATATCACGGCGGGGACACCAGAAATGGGCTTCACACTATGTACCGACTCACTGGTGTGATGAGCAAAACGCTTTAACCACTAGGCTACCACACTGCCCCGAATATTCTTGTGAAAAAATGGTGGAAGACACTACTAATGGGATTCACACATGGTACCCATGCGGGGAATCAAATCCAGGTCTTCAAACCAGCTAGTCCACTGCACCTGATCTTTTGATGTGAAGACACCATTGCACAATTTAGGACCCACTGACTCGGGCTATTCCTTGTTCTGCATGTCCTAGGGATCCTATTGCTGAATAGGAAGGTACTAGTAGTAAGACTAAGAGGCCCGTGAAGATCCAGCTTAAAATTGTTTTTCAGCAACCCATTTTTGTCGTAAGAAGCGACTAACAGGATCTGGTGGTCAGGCTCGCCAAGTTGGTTGACACATGTCATCGTATCCCAATTGCGTAGATCGATGCTCATGCTGTTGTTCACTGGATTGTCTCGTCCAGACTTGATTATTTACAGACTGCTGACATGTATCTGGTATATTGCTGAGTTCAGCGTAAAACTAAACTCGCCCACTCACTCATGCCAACAGAATGGGAAACTTTTAGTCAAGGAAATTGTTGTTATACCCGTCCTTGTAATTGGTAATAATATCCAATCACAATATTCAGTGGCCTGAAGACCCCAGGGAACATGTTGGAATTAGAGCAGGGAGGTGCATCATTGTAGGGAGAATGAGTCAACTTAGGTCAGAGTCTTGGTCAGGGATATCATTGTTTCATGGACAAGCAGGCTCAGGTGTAAAGGTCAAGCAGAGGTGGTTTGTGACTCTTCATATTTGCTTCACTAAATGACCAGATGACTAAGACATGGTCAAAGTAAGAAATGTTATAAACTTGTCAGGGCTCGATTTAGTGCTTTGTTACTTGCTCTGGTGCAACCCAGTATTATGAATTGCAACGTGGTTATTAGTTAATTTTCAAGTGGGTAAACATAAAACATCTATATGATTAAATAACATATTTCTTTCATTATCACATTGCAATAAAAGCAGTGCAACTAGAATTTGGCTGGTGCAACTAGGTTTTTATCTTAGGTTGCACCTGGTGCAAGTAGGTTAACATCTCTTAAATCGAGGCCTGCTTGTCTTAAGATCTGCTTGTAGCAACGTGTAGGTATGACACGTTTGTAGCTGTCAAAACCTAATGTATTTCCATAGTTATTTGTTTTAGAAAATGGACCAATATAAGCTGATACTACTAGACTATAGGAAGTTTAAGTGGACAGAGGCTTCAGATTTGTGGTTGCTGATGGGTGTCCACACTCAAGTTTGCAAGATCTGTGATTCATGACCACCTCCGTGGTGTAGTGGTCAGTGTGTCTGCCCGGAGAGCGGAAGGTTGCGGATTCGATCCCCAACCTTGTCATACCAAAAGAGGATAAAATATGATACTTGTTGGTCCCTGCCTGGCTCGGCATTAATGGGTACAACAAGGACTGGTTGGCTCGGAGTCAGTATAATGTGTCTGAGTGGGGTATTCATGCTTTACTGCGGCATAGTATCTCAGTTGGCTAGCACGACAAAACCAGCTTAAGTATGGGCTAGTACAAGTAGCCACACATACACACAGGCATACACCCTAATTCACCCTAATTCACCTCACCTCACCTCACCTGTGATTCTTGTGGACACTAACTCACTTGTAGCCTCCATACGGTAACGGACAGCTTTTGTTTGAAAAAACTCGAGGATGAGTTTTTGTTAGTCATGTGATCATGGACTGTAGCCGGCAATCATATTGTAGATTGGTGTTACTGTGTCTCTGTGTTCTGCAGATGCAGGTGTGCTTCACAGTCTGATTAGTGAAAAGTGTATTAGGATGCTGTCTCTTTGTGTGCATCCAGTGTGCAAAATATCCATTGGCCTGCTAGACCATGGCTAGTAAAAATCCATTCGGGCCAGTAAATCTCCAGTCAGTGGCCCGACTGGCTAGTGAATTTTCGTGGGGGTCTTTTTTTTAATATATCACTCTCTCCAACTTGTTAAGTTATTACACACTATTAAATCATGCAAGATTATGGCCTGATAAACAGTGTTCACGAATGGTGTTTCAAAGTAACAGGACATTGGGTCCTGTAAGTTTCAGATGTCTGTCTGACCCATTGAAAATTCAAAGGACCCATAGAATAAGATTGAACACACATTTCAGATTTAATATTTCTTATAATTGGCATTGAAATTATTTATTAACAGGAAACAAGTGTCACATGTCACATATAACCACTTCAGTCAAAGTCATTGTGAAACATACAGTCAGACACTGGGGCCGGGTGGGTTGTAGACTTCTATCGGACAGTTGGCGAATCTGCTGGATTTGTCAGAGGGTCAGACGCTATTCGTGAACACTGGATAAATGATGGTATTTTACCTTTTTGTAATGTTTTGCTTAGTTTCTACATTCGGGGCGGTGGGGTAGCCTAGTGTTTAAAGCATTCGCTTGTCACGCTGAAGACCTGGGTCCGTTTTCCCTACATGGGTATAATGTGTGAAGCCCATTTCTTGTGTCCCCCGCTGTGATATTGCTGGAACATTGCTAAAAGTGGCGTAAAATCAAACTCACTCACTAGTTTCTGCATTCACATTTTGAGCTAGTGAATGATTTTGTGGGCTAGTAACTTTCAGGCATAGCTTACCCGACTGGCTAGCAAAATTTGGAAACTATTTCTCACACTGTGTGCATCATTTGTTTTGTGTGCTTAATTTGAAAAAAATGTGTCAGTGGAGAATATCTAATGTTCAGAATTGCAGCTCACGTATAAGATTCACTAACATTGAACTTGATTTTTCAGATGAGGATCCTTCTCGTGGATGCTTCAAGATGGCCGAAGAAGTAACCGTGACAGCAAAATATGACTATCACGCTGAAAACAGCCAAGAACTGGACATAAAGAAGAATGAGAAACTGACTCTGTTGGATGACAGCAAGGATTGGTGGAAAGTCCAGAACAGTTCCAACAAGTCTGGATTTGTGCCATCGAACTACGTCCGACGTATAAAACCCAAAGCATCAATATTCTCCAGTCTGAAGAGCCTTGGGCGGAAGAAGAGTGATGCAGCAAAGAACTCAGCTTGTCCGTCACCGGCAACGTTGCGTAATGGTGACGCCAGGAGCAACGGGTCCCCTTCACCCAAGTGGGAGTTCCACCAGTAGTCAGCCTTGCCATGAAGCAACTCCTGCCACTGCCAAATATCACTACACGTCCCAACGAGAAGATGAAATTTCTCTTGTGAAAGGGGAACATTTAATTGTGCTAGAAAAGTCCAATGACGGCTGGTGGAAGGGCCAGAAGAACGACAATTCCGTGGGCTGGTTCCCATCGAATTACGTGTTGGTGGATTCCGAGGTGGACTACTGCACTGCCGCCACGGCCGAGTCCATGATGAATGACTGTATCGAGGTAGTGACCACCCTCTACCCCTTCACGGGGAAGAACAAGGAAGAGATGAGCTTTGACAAAGGCCAGAGACTTGAAATAATCGACAAACCTTCAGAGGATCCTGAGTGGTGGTTTGCTCGGAACTCTAGAGGCGACATGGGGCTGATTCCACGGAATTATGTGCAAAGTGTAGAGGAGTGTGATGGTGACCGAGGCACGAGCATGAGCTCCTGCACCCCACAGTCCCAGTCCACAAGTAGTCTGTCTAATGCTTCATCTCTCGGCATCTCGGGTGGGCGGAGGCAGTTCCATGTGTCGGGGCCTCTTCAGGATAAGGACTGGTACTTTGGGAAAATTAACAGGCCTCAGTGTGAGGAACTTTTATCCAAATACGCCGAGGATGGTGACTTTCTTATTAGGGACAGTGAATCTGCCGTAAGTATGGGGAGGGTTTTTTGTGTGGTTGTGTCGGATCCAGGATAGGGTCCTGTGTTAGATGTGATCATTCTGTGTGTGTTCAGTCAGGATTTTCATGGATGCTTTGGCGATCCTGTCTTCATGACCTCTTGTGGATCCTGTATTTTCATGGATTTCATTTGGATCAGGTGTTTTACAGATCATTATTCTTCCAGAGTTGTTCATAAGTCATATAGGATCCAGGGATATACGCTGATCATATAGGATCCAGGGATATACGCTGATCATATAGGATCCAGGGATGTACATGGATCATATAGGATCCAGGGATGTACTTGGATCATATAGGATCCAGGGATGTACATGGATCATATAGGATCCAGGGATGTACTTGGATCATATAGGATCAAGGGATGTACATGGATCATATAGGATCCAGGGATGTACTTGGATCATATAGGATCCAGGGATGTACTTGGATCATATAGGATACAGGGATGAACATGGATCATATAGGATCCAGGGAAATACATGGATCATATAGAATCCAGGGAAGTTCATAGATAATATGGGATCAGGAGGAATATTCCTGGAATGTTTAGATTTAGAGGTGGATCAAGATCCAATGGTATTCATGGATCATATACATTACAAAGGTATTGATAGATCAAACATGATCTGGAGGTATTCATGGATCATGCCAGATCCGTCAGTAGGGATCCAGAGAAACATTCATGGATCACTTAGATATAGAGGTGGATCAGGATCCAATGGTATTCATGGATCATATACATTACAAAGGTATTGATAGATCAAACATGATCCGGAGGTATTCATGGATCATGCCAGATCCGTCAGTAGGGATCCAGAGAAACATTCATGGATCACCTAGATTTAGAGGTGGATCAGGATCCAATGGTATTCATGGATCATATACATTACAAAGGTATTGATAGATCAAACATGATCCGGAGGTATTCATGGATCATGCCAGATCCGTCAGTAGGGATCCAGAGAAACATTCATGGATCACCTAGATTTAGAGGTGGATCAGGATCCAATGGTATTCATGGATCATATACATTACAAAGGTATTGATAGATCAAACATGATCTGGAGGTATTCATGGATCATGCCAGATCCATCAGTAGGGATCCAGAGAAACATTCATGGATCACCTAGATTTAGAGGTGGATCAGGATCCAATGGTATTCATGGAAAAATGAGGATTCACAGGTATTCATGGAACATGCATGATTTGGAGGGATTCACATGAATTATATTGGCTCCAGAAATATTTTGTAGATCGTACAAACCAAGAGGTATTGATGGATCATATATAGGTATTCATAAATCCTGCCTGATCCAAAAGTATCCATGTATGATATAGGATCCAGAGATATTAAAGTTCTGGACCCAATCCAGAGGTTTTCAGGGTTCACATGGCATCCAGATGTATTTATGATGAATGGGCATCCCAAAGAAGAAATTTCCAATGAATCCTTTTATTTTAGGGAAGGTGGTGGGGTAGCCTAGTGGTTAAAGCGTCTGCTCGTCACGGCGAAGGCCTGGGTTCGATTCCCCACATGGGTACAATGTGTGAAGCCCATTTCTGGTGTCCCCCACCGGGATATTGCTGGAGCATTGCTAAGAGCAGCAAAAAGCTTACTCATTAATTTTAGGTCAGTGGTTAAGATACTAATATCTGCAAAAGTTCACAGTGCTGATAATGAAACCATAGGATGTACATTAAATACAACTGTGGAAGTAGATATGCACCAGATAGTCTTCGCCCCAAAGCAGCAGGTTCTGAATGAATCAATAATCAGGCTCTGAATATAGTCGAGGTAAGGACAAAGGGAGGTAACAGCATCTCTGTGTAGCAGTAGCCTCAGACTGAATTCTGCCTAAGCAAGCCCTGCTCAGTGTTTACACAGATAGACATCAAACTGTGTCATACTTTCCTGACTCTTGAGTCATATCCGGGGCTCCCCCATCATACAAGTAGTCCCAGCAGAAGAGCTCGAGGATAGTTGATGGCAGGATGACAGTTTGAACTCTGTCGAAAACATCCGAGGAAGAATGATACGAGTAAAATGTTGCTGAGACTAAGTGAACAGATGTTTTTGCAGCATCTGTTTGTGTCTTACAAACATTACATTGAAATAAGCTGCTAAGTAGACTAATATGAAACTAATAATGAATTTACATGTTGTTAACATGAGATATCTGTAGCTCATGTGACGTAACAGGTGAAAATCAAATTACTTCCTGTTGCTTTTAGAGCTTTTAGTGAGTGTTGTTGCAGGTGCATATCAGCAAGGTCAGAGATTTTGAATAGAAATCGAGAGTTAAACAAAGCCTGGAAGATATAATTGAAGTAAGGAGACGATCATTGTCTTAAGATCTAACCTGTTGAATTTATGGGCAGCTATCTGAGATTGCTCCATAGCAAGAACATCACCTTGTCACGAAACATTGGGGACAAAACACAACGACAGACATATTTTTATTGAAACCTTTATCTCTCTATGCTCAGCTGATGTTGGAACTGCTTCTTTCCAGAGCATAGACGGAGCATATAAAATATAGGTGGTGTTGAATTATAGATGGTGACATATGTTATATCTCATAGGGGAGGTGGGGCAGGCAAGTATAGAAATGTTCTGTCTCATGCAGATGTTGAATTATAGATGGTGACATATGTTATATCTCATAGGGGAGGTGGGGCAGGCAAGTATAGAAATATTCTGTCTCATGCAGATGTTGAATTATAGATGGTGACATATGTTATATCTCATAGGGGAGGTGGGGTAGGCAAGTATAGAAATATTCCGTCTCATGCAGATGTTGAATTATAGATGGTGACATATGTTATATCTCATAGGGGAGGTGGGGTAGGCAAGTAATATTCCGTCTCATGCAGATGTCTGTTTATGGTTTCTCACCTGTGTAAATATTGTGAATCCCATTTCTAGAGTCCCACCTTGATGATGTGTAATAATAACATGATAATATGAAACAATACTCACTCACTCACTCACTCACTCTGTATTATATGTTACCCATGAAGATCTGGGTTAGAATTGATCTTCAGTAACCCATGCTTGTTGTAAGAGGTGACTAATGGGATTGGGTGGTCAGGCTCGCTGACTTGGTTGACACATGTCATCGTATCTCAGTTGTGTAGATCGATGCTCTTGCTGTTGATCACTGGATTGTCTGGTCCAGACTTGATTATTTACAGACCGCCAACATATCACTGGAATATTGCTGAGTTCGGCGTAAAACTAAACTCACTCAGACACACCTCATTTTGTTCAAGTTAGTGGAATATCAATACTGACAGCATCTCTTGTACGGCCATCTTTGTTGACATTGAAGAAATAGCCAAGTGAGCTACAGTACATTGGCAATTGTTTAATGTTTCACATTGCATCGTATCCCAAATGCTCATGCTGTTGATCATTGGATTGTCTGGTCCAGACCTGATTATTGACAGACCAGCCGTAATTAGCTGGAATATTGCTGAGTGTGGCATAAAACTAAACTCACTCACTGTATTTTATGTAATAACTGCTTGCATACACAATTTTGGGTGTATATCCTTTTGTACATATATCCTTTGTTTGTTTCAGGCTGGCCAGTATACAGTTGTATTGAAGGCGCCCAATAGAAACAAACATTTTCGTGTTCATGTTAAAGATGGCGAGTACCAAATAGGCCAACAGACTTTCACGTCTCTGGAACAGTTGATAGATCATTACAAGAGACATCCTATTTACAAACAGGAGTCTGAAAAACTCTACCTTGTCAAACCTTTTGTAATGCAGGCCGATTTCTGACATCTTGATGCACAGGTGTGATTTCTTAATCTGGTCATCGTCATCTGCCGTGGTCACCCATGGTTAGTGGACGAACAGTTGCTACATTGGGAGTACGGAACACAACTGCTCAGCGTAGAAATAACATGCCAGGAGAACAACTCGGAAACAGAAGAGGAGAAATGAACTTGCTGATTGATGGGGTTTTTAATGTGAAAAAGGGCGTATGTCCCTTCTACTTAAGACATGTAAGACACAGAATCTCGATTTGAAACAACTGTTGTCATGTATTTAACCAGCTTCATTGTTATTATCGATAGAAATGTTTGATTGACATGTATCGCAGCAGCTTTTACTATGAAAGAGCAGTAGCACTGGTTCCGAGTTTCCGATCAGTATTGTTTGCTTATCAGTAATAGGTAAATTTGGTAAATTGATGGAATAATAGAAACGATGCCATAACCTAATTTCGATTATTGTTTAACCATTAATGATGGCTGGTGATAGCTGATGCAGTCTTTTTGTAAAGGTTGATGATAAAATAATAGAGAATTCTTTTGTTTAAGGTAAGAGGATTTGACAGATGTACGAATTTTGGGGTATTCTAATACCATAGGAGGAAATCTCAAGGAAGCGGTTGTTTCTCTTTAGATGTTTTACTGGGGAATCTCTTACCAGCCATGTTATGGTGTTGTATAACTCTACTGCTCTTTCATGGAACAGACCCTTCGTATATATGGCAAGGTGATCCCAATATTGAGGCAGATTTGATGCTGCCTACAGTAGAATCTGTATTAAGTGACCAGTCAAAATATATCAGTCATCATCATGATCATCATCATCATTGGCACTACTATTTCTCACATATGCTGTATGGTTTTATGCAGCATGAATTTACCACGAAACATGGCGGTTGGTTTTATGCAGCATGAACTCACCCATGTGGTGAGGCTGTTGGTTTTGTGCTGCAGTAACTCACCATGAAGCATATCTTGGTTCTATGCTGCAGTAACTCACCATGAAGCATGGCTGTTGGTTTTATGAAGCATGAACTCACCCATGCTGTATGGCTGTTGGTTTTGTGCTGCATGGACTCACCATAAAGCATGGTTGTTGGTTTTGTGCTGCATTAACTCACCATGAAGCATGGTTGTTGGTTTTGTGCTACATTAACTCACCCATGCTGTATGGCTGTTGGTTTTATGCAGCATGAACTCACCATGAAGCATGGTTGTTGGTTTTGTGCTGTGTTAACTCACCATGAAGCATGGCTGTTGGTTTAATGCTTCATGAACTCACCATGAAGCATGGCTGTTGTTTTATGCAGCATGAACTCACCATGAAGCAAGGCTGTTGTTTTTATTCTGCATAAACTCACCATTAAGCATATCTTGGTTTTATGCAGCATGAACTCACCATGAAGCATGGCTGTTGGTTTTATGCCCCATGAAGTCAGCTGTGCGGTGTGGCTAGTAATTTTATGCTGCATGAACTAACTATTCATTGAGCCCTAGTCTTTTGCACATGTATGTTATATAGAATTGAAATGTAATCCTATCTACATAAGTATCAAAACCTTTCGTTGAGATTCTTAATGAGGGCATGAGAAGATTGTAATATATAAATTATTGATTGTGAACTGACTGACATAAATCATATTTCCCCCTCAGTTATAGAAATGTCTTTGTCTCAAGTGTTCAATCAAATACTCTCTCCAGTTATTTTTATTTCAAGTGGAATACAGGTGTTTCTAGAGCCACATTCAGACTTTGATAAACTCAGTGTTTCCGCTAGCATTTTTTACAGCTGGACATTGTGACTGGCTAGCATTTCAAATACCGGTCATTTGTAAATTTTACTGGTCAAGTGTTCGCTAGACTTTGCACCCTAACAACCAATCAGAAATTTAGAGGGTATCGTAATGCATCAATGCTGCTATTTTTAGCCCGGGGTTTTCCAAAACTGCTATTTTTTGTTTGACAACACCTCGATGTATTGTGAAAACGTAATCTTTTTCGAGGAGAAATAAAATTGACAGAGGTAATTAGAAAATTGATCTTAAAATTTGCTGGACATGATGTCCGACAGCCTTTGAAATTACCGGACATTCTAACTTTGTACCGGTCAAAGTCCAGTATATGCTAGATAACGGAAACACTGAAACTGTTTTCCAGATTGGATAATATGTGAAAATATTGAAGGCATGATTTTGGTGAAATGGGAACAGACTGTAGTTGTGACATGATAAACAGTGCAGTATTAATGTATCCTGTATTTGAGGGCTGAAAGATACTAAAGATACTCTTGTCCTTCTCCATGGTACTTTCTACAGCCATATTTTAATCAAAGTGGATTGATCATGGAAATGACAACGTCTGAGGGTATGGTTCTAAATGTGTCCTTTAGCTTGATAAATGGGGCTATAACTACAAACAGGCATTTTATAGGAAAGTTTGTTAGTGTCATAAATGCAAACCACGAGATGTCCATGTGCATTAATAAGTATCAGGCTAACAATGATGAACGTCACATTTGTCCTGAGATAGTGGCATCGTGGATGCATTACTAAGATAACTGCTAAAGTCAGAAAAATAGGGTACATTTCTTGAGTGAACAAACTTCACAGAAATCAAACTGAATTCGCATCTGTCTCAGAAATATTGACATGGGTGTTTGAAGCACATGAAAGGTGCAGTTTTGGAAATGTGACTCACATTTTGAAGAATAGATGTCTCGTACTTAAACATGTCTTCAATAATATTAACATGTATGAGTAGTGTAGTTTAGATTTTTCGACAGTTTCTGCTATTGTCAGAACCATATCGTGGGGATGAATTAAAATCCAAACTCACCAGCCTTCCATATGATGGGACACTGTGAGGTAGCCTAGTGGTTAAAGCGTTCGCTCGTCATGCTGAAAACCCGGGATCGATTCCCCACGTGTGTGAAGACCATTTCTGGTGTCCCCCACCGTGATATTGCTGGAATATTGCTAAAAGCGGCATAAAACTAAACTCACTCATTCACTCTTGACCTGTTGATCTGAAAAGATTAAAAATGTTGTTAAGAGGAGTAAAACTTGAATTAACATGTTTAGAAAGTTTACAATGTCAGAAATAATCGTCCTTGTAGCCCTTAAAACCCTCTATCATATGAGCCAACAAACCCAAACGCTCTGTTAGAAACACCAACTCACCTATAACTGTGGAAGGAAGAAGAAAAAAAAGAGCTGATTAAGTGTTGTCATAAATTTGCAAGCTGTTCAAATGAACAAAATATAGCTCTCGCTATACAAAATATGAATATTGCTAAAAATGGTGTAAAACTGTATTGTCCAACCCTCACTCACTCATAAGCACATTTCTTAACTTTCATATCAGTTTTGAAAAACATTTCTCGTTTCTTAAATTATGCAGATGCTGCCCTGAATTTGCTGTTATCCTATCTCGTCATTTTGTATGTTTTAGAAAAAACATGTAGTGATATATTCAAAACATGCATCATTACACAAGACATGAACTATAAATGCTGATGAGGAAATGTTCAAGAAATATTTCATCATTGAAATCCAAAGAGTGTAACAGCCAAGCTATTTGATTGTCTTTCATGTTCCACCTTCTTCAGCATTAGAACCAATGATGTTTTATGCCAGTCAGTTCCCTGTTTGAAATGTATCAGCTGAACTGACGTCTATAGCTGTCAATGGTGCTTCGTCCCCCACTGCCTTGCTAGCTCCAGGCTGCTTCGTGACGCTAATTTCAATCCAGTCTTTGTACATTTCGCTTTGTTGGTAGTCTTACTGTATGATCAAAATGTCTCCTATGAACGTTGCAAAGTTTGCGTGTGGCATATATTTGATGGACTTTGATACGAAAAATTGAACTTATTTGTCATTAAATGCTTCTATTTTTGAATATTAGAAGGAATTTCATTCATGGAGGTAGCCAAGTGGTTGAGGTGTGTACTCACACTACCATGATTTGGGTGAGTTCATGTACGGGCTGTAGAATAGCTTATGGTTAAAGCATTAGCATGACACCCCGAAGACCACAGTTTGATTCCACGTATTGGTACAGTGATTGAAGTAGGGCAGGCTATCGATATAGATCATAGAGAATCATAAATATCAATTGATTATCGATAAATATTGGAGAAGTAACTTTGACCAAGAATGCCCAAAGGTGTGTAAAACCATACCCACTCATTCATACATACATCATGAAGCCATTATTGGCCCCCACTGTACTCATACTGCAGGAACTATGTTTAAAATTGTCAGACCCATACTTCCTTGTAACTCTGAGCAAGTTTTTATGGCGATGGGGTAGCCTAGTGGTTAAAGCGTTTGCTCGTCTCACCGAAGACCCGGGTTCGATTCTCCACATGGGTACAATGTGTGAAGCCCATTTCTGGTGTCACCCGCCATGATATTGCTGGAATATTGCTAAAAGTGGCGTAAAACTAAACTCACTTCACTCTGAACAAAGTTTCATATTTGCTGGCATGCTTTATGAAGCAACACGTCATATGCAGTTGATTTGGCAATTAAATTTCTCATATTTATGTCACTGTTCCATCTAACTAAAACCATCTAACTCTCTTCTCTGAGAGACGATATAGGTTTAGCAAGCAAATAGCATCCACACAGTTGTAACATTTACCATTGGTCATCTTCAGTACTTAATAAGTTTGTGTACACTATGTTCTCCCATCATCTGTGACTACAGCAGCTTTTTTGTGCTGGAGGCAGTAGGATAGCCTAGTGGTTAAAGCGTTGGCTCGTCATGCCAAAGACCCGGGTTCGATTCCCCACATGTGTACAATGTGTGAAGCCTATTTCTGGTGTCCCCCGCCGATATATTGCAGGAATATTGCTAAAAGTGGCGTAAAACCATACTCACTCTCTCTCTTTGTGCTGAAGTTGAGAATGTCTGTTTTATTAAATAAAATTATGCCATGTATAGATCACAAATCAGATTAGCTTACTGAGGGTATATCCTATGGGTGCCTTATATAGAAGCAGTGCGTAGAGTACGTTGGGTGTAGTATGGTTCTTGAGATAATTGCCAATGATATCTGATCACCCATTAATCTGAAGTGTGACAGTTCTGTAGCCTTGTCACGCCCAAGACCTGGGTTCAAATCCCCACATGGGTACAATGTGTGAAGCCATTTCTGGTGTCCCCAGCCGTGATATTGATGGAATATTGCTAAAAGCAACGTAAAAGTAAATTCACTCACTCGGTCATTTGTGGTTGAAATGTTTGCTCATCACGCTGAAGACCCGGTTTTATTCCCCACATGGGCACAATGTGTGAAGCCCATTTCTGGAGACCCCTGCTGTGATATTGATGGAATATTGCTAAAAGCAGCGCAAAACCCAACTCACTCATTATTCTAAACACTCGCTGGCTTACCTCTGGTCTGAACCAGGTCTTCTCTTGAATATATTTGTAAATGATGGCCTTGCTGTCTAATGTCATGGATGACGGAGAAACAAAGTGTTTACAAACCCATGAAATACTGACGATGACCATTAAGGGATAAACATAATTTCCTTACAATATAAGCATGCAAAATTCATGTGGACAATTGTGTAATCTGTCAACGAGACGATGCATTGGTCATTTAGGAGTTGTATCTTCATAATATGTAAATTGGCTGATTTGATCTGTTCTCAACCAAAGACTTATTCAAGTATTACCGCAATAAATGGCTTTGTATAAATTGCACCATCGAAAAGTCTTGCTCAGTTACCATGGCAACATTTATTACTGATTTTTTTGTATTAAAATTTCATATTTTTTCTGCGAAAAATTTCAATTAATGTTAATTTGGTTGCTATGTCATCGGATTGGGCAACTTAAGTTTTGGTTCCCTTAGGTCTCGTAATCGGATATTTAAATTGATATGTTGTGATTTAAAGACTAAGACCAAATGGCGTCACATTTCAGCTGCAATGTATTGATGTATATATCAGTGTTTGTGAAATAGACAACAGTGGTTGTCATAACATGTCAATAGGTTGCTGACGTAGCATTTGTCACTGACAATAATTCTTACTGCATAATTATGTGGAGAAATGGAGTTTTCAAAATGTGCCTGAGTTTTTTCTTCAGTACAAGTTCTGTGATGATGCCACAAGTTGGACCAACTTATTTGTATGTAGAAGTATTTGTGATTTCTCACTCAAAACAAGCCGTTCGGAGAATGGTCAGTTGTCCTGCTCGATGTCAAAATGTGAAGTTTTGTGATGTTCTTGTAACGGAATCTCGTACGTAACTGAACACTTGAGATTTAATGTTAGAACTGTTTAAAGAATCGTAGAATTTCACTGGAATATGCCTTCAGCGCTGAAAACATTAGCGCGCCCGAGATGTAAATTGAATTCTGTCTTTCTTGTTGAACATCACATCGACATGAGAAGGAAACAGAGACTGCTTGATTCGGCTTGTAGATAAGATGAAGCTTACAAATAAACCTGGACATTCTACACTTCATCAAGCATCTTCACTCAAAGTAGAATTATTATTTTTAATGATTTTCATTAATTAGTTTAAACTCATTTGCAGGAACCTGTTAATAAGGTCTGCAGACACAACAGTAGTAGGACTAATTAACAGAGCATTCTTTATATTTGATGAGAGTTTGAAAAGAATTAGTTCTTAAGGCGCCAAAATTTTGATATTTGATTTCAGGTTGTAGAAACCACCACAAATTTGGAGGATCATACCAAATTCTGGCAGTATTATTAAGCGATATCTATACAAATTCTGTCAAAGAAACGTCATCCGTAATTTAGATATTGACTTTGCTGTGTTGGGTTAACTTCACAACCAATCAATATTCATTCGTTGATAACTTGTTTAGACCTGGATGAGCCTGAGGGGCTGTGGGGTAGCCTAGTCGTTAAAGCATTGGCTCGTCACGCCGAAGACCCGGGTTCGATTCCCCACATGGGTACAATGTGTGAAGCCCATTTCAGGTGTCCCCTGCCATGATGTTGCTGAAATATTGCTAAATGCGGCGTAAAACTAAACTCAGTCAGTCACTTGATGAGCCTGACAGATGTTCTGGTGTTAAAGTTTTCTTTTGATAAAGATCAAAATAGTCATACTAATGATTACTTGAGTAATTAGTCATGCTATCGAGCATGTAATTTTTCAAGTACCTAAGCCCGATGTGATATTGCTGGAATATTGCTAAAAGCAGCGTAAAACCATACTCACTGAAGCAACTAAGTTAAAGCACCGATGTCCTAGATTTGATAGATCAGAGTTGAAATGTAAGATCTGATGTCCAGTGTTCAAATTTGTTTCTGAATTAAGGTTGTAATGTCGACAATGTCTCGGTTTCCTTCCCACGGCAGCGAGTAGCAGTCATGGCATGTTGTATTGCCATTACGTAATGCTCAACAGGGTTTTAATTAACACTGAATGTACTGCATGTGTGTATGTGGATTGCTCACAGTAACAACGCTGTGGAATAGAATAACCAATGAAATACATTTTAATACCAGTCAATGGAAGCAGCTTTTAATTCATATCTTAGAGTTAGGATTTTAGGAGTGGAGTTGAACATATTTATTCCAATCTACACCTTCTTGCCAGGAATGATGATGCCGTGTGTGGTTTATTGAATGGTTTAGGGGTGTACCGATTGCTGTCACGACAATGGAATGTGATCATAAATTATTCTATGCTAAAGAAAATTTTGGTTGGTTTGTTAGGATGGAAATATACTGATGGTAAAAAAATAGGGAACATGATAATGCAGTTTTGTGCTGACTGATGTATTCAATGAAATGCTTGATGTACTTGAGACAGGTCATCGGGAAAACTGTTCTTATACTGATACAATAAAGTTAGGGATCATGAATATTTTGGGGTATTTTTTTAAGAATGGGTAGACAAAGTCAAAGTACCAAAAAATATTCAAGATCCGCTGACCTTATTCCTTCAGCTTATATCCTGCGCACATTATATGTCAAACAATCTTTGTTTTGTTCTCTTTAAGACAGGGGGCACTGGGGTGGCCTAGTGGTTAAAGCGTTCGCTCGTCACGCCGAAAACCCGGGTTCAATTCCCCACATGGGTACAATGTGTAAAGCCCTTTTCTGGTGTCCCCCGCTGTCACGCCGAAAACCCGGGTTAGATTCCCCACATGGGTACAATGTGTGAAGCTTCTTCTGGTGTCCCCCGCCGATATATTGCTGTAATAATGCTTAAAGCGGCGTATAATAAAACTTACTCTCTCACTCTTTGAGACGTTTTTTTTATGCCAAAACTTTTGTTCGCTTCCTCTTTCCATCAATATAGTTTTTCATCCACAGTGGAGGAATAAGTTTTCTACTTTAACCATGTGAAGTTTGTTAGTGAAGTAAAAGTCTTCTGTATAAAACACATAAATGAAATGTGTAAAACCTCTAATAGCATGGTGTGGTGGTTATATTTCACAGTTTACGACGAATATCACGAAAATATCGTTACACCCCTGAATAGTATGTTTGATCAAAGTCAGTCACATAATCAAAACGCTGATCCAACGGGTACAGGAATTGATATTATTTACCACAAGCTTAGATATGTTTTAACTCCAATGTCCACGTTCTCCAGATACATAAAACACGTGCATTATCTGGGACTGTTTTAACGATGGCAGGCCCTAGAGCTACAAGGGGTCGAGGGTCACAGTTGTGAATTTTTAGAATTTAGGCGATTTTAATCCTATATATACATTGCTGACTCCTGTCTGTTTATCTAATGATACAATGCATGCTATATATACATGTACATAACCCACCACTGTCCGTCACCAGTGATTGACAGATATTGACGACATTGTCCATTTCACATATCTGTAGATCATTGAAACACC